TGTATTCCTATAATACTTGTTTTATATTCTACAGGTCTTATACTCTGCTCCTTTATGGCTCTCTGGCACCCTCCTGTGTTTCAGTGGGACACATACAAAACCAATGGATAGGTAGGATAATACTGCATGTTTTCTTAACAAGTATCAAGGATCGGTTAGTAAAGCTCAAATTATCCAACCAGTTCAAGTTCTGACCAAATCAGTAAAAATGAATATGTTAAAATGCCTTGTTACTGTACAATAAATCAATGAAAAACAGAATTATTATCATCAAAAATATTTAGAAATGATTATGTATTATTACTGTTTAAAGCGCCTCTGTTTCACCTTGTGATGCCATGTGGTGATACAGGAAGTGCTCCACTGTGTTTTTAAAACTCCATAAACTGCCACATGTGTGAATGAAATAATGCACAACTCCAAGTATATTTTTGAGGAGGTAACAACATTCTAACATGGCTAAAAGCTCACAAGAGTCAATTTTTGTGTAATGTAGGACCTTTATATAGGAGAAGTTATTCTGCATAGTTACTACAGGGCTACTGTATATTGAGAATTGAAGCAATATACAGTACTGTGTGGGCTATATTATAGAATTAAGTTGGATAGACTTTCTGTACTTTCTGACAGTACTTTCATTATTACTTTAAAGATAGACTATGTAACTTTTCTGGTGGAGGGCCTGCCATCTGCCTATCTCCATGGAAATGTTATTGCCACATTACAGATATTTTTTAGCAACAAAACACTTAATATAACACACACCATACTGTGGAACATTCCACAAACAGGCCCCTAAAGACAGGCTTAGCAAAATTAAATAGTGCTTCTTTGCGTAGCATCTTACGCAGGCCTATTTTAAAAAACAAACAAACAAAAAAACAAAAACAAATGATTAGATTAAAAAAAAGAATGATTAGATAAAATATTTTTGCTCATTTAGATTTAAAAATGATCATTGGCCCTTGGTCCTCGCCACTAACAACGTTAGAGGCGAGGACTACTGTTCTTCGTCGGTTTCTTTATTATTATTCTTTTTCCGACCAAACGATCGCATTTTTGACCCCCTGAATGTCGACGAAAAGTCCCCAAACCGGGGTTCAAATCGATTGGCCCAGCGAAAAATTTGATAAAATGGGCATCAAGACAATGACCAAAGTGACCCGACTCAACAGCGCCACCTAGAATTCGACCCCTATGGGAGTGGGGACAAGCAAACTTTGTCGCAGGGAAATGAAATTCGGAACAGTGATAGAGAACAATGAGACAAGCCAAAAGATGAATTGGAGCATGACCCTATGACGAACAGGAAGTCGGCCATATTGGATCAAACATTCGCCGCCGTTTTGACATGGGGGTCTACAAAAAGATTCAAGTCCCCGGGGTTTGGTCCAAATGAGCTCAAATTTGACATGTCACATCATACACAAGAAACGTCAACATTATCGGATTAGTACCAAATTCGGGGCATAAATTCTATGCATGATTACAAGCTAAAAAGTCTATTACGGACATGGTGTATTTTCCACCATTGGCCAGCAGGGGCGCAAAGACTCCCCCAAAAAATAGTTAAAAAATTATTACACCCACAGGCTTAGTCCGATTGTGCTGACATTTGAATCACTAATGCCTGATCACGGCCTAAACATAATACACTATAAAACATATGAAAAGTGAACTCTATAGCGCCCCCTACCATAGACATGAAACGTAAACATTATCGAATGTGTACCAAATTTGGGGATTAAATTCTGTGCATGAATACAAGCCAAAAAGTCCATTACGGACATGATGCATTTTCCACCACTGGCCAGCAGGGGCGCACAGACTCCCCCAACAAATAGTTAAGAAATGATTACAGACACAGGTTTAGTCCGATCGTGCTGAAATTTGAATCACTAATGCCTGATCACGGCCTAAACATAATACACTATGAAGTATATGAAAAGTGAACTCTATAGCGCCCCCTACCATAGACATGACATGTCAACATTATTGGATTTGTACCAAATTCAGGGAATAAGTTCTATGCATGACTATGAGCAAAAAAATAAATAACGGACATGGTGCATTTTCCACAGTTGGCCAGCAGGGGCGCAATGACTCCTAAAAATATTTAAAGGTGCATTATGTAATGTGTCTAATGGACGAGCTGTCGGCCTGGGCGGATGTCGGGAAGAGAGAGTGATGTGCCGGGGCGGTCGCGAGTCCCCGGAGGTCGCGTGGGGGGGCGGTGCGCGCCGGGGCGAGGGCCGCCATCGCCGCGCGCGGCTTTAATATTAAATTTGTTTTTAATGTTGCTTATCTCTGTGAAAACTATGTCCCATCTTTTCCAGGAAGCCAGTGTATTTTGCTGACATTGCCAGCTGAGGACATGCAGAACAGTAGCCAACTGCAGTTTTTATCCCTTGACAGCGTCATCACTGACACTGAAACAAATGTGCTTTTTGTTGATACATTTCCTGTTTCTTTTTAATATGAATTCTTTTTCCAGGAGCTAGCTTTTATAATCCTGTTGGGAGCACTGAAGCTTGGCGGCAATGCTGTGTAACTGCTCAAGAATATTACGTCCAGTCACTCCACACCTCCACACACCAATCAAAATACTTTCCTTCTATTTTGTTTATCTATTGTCTTTAAGGCAGGTTGTGCTTGGGGTAAAGAGGTGTAGATGCGATAAAAGCTTATGGACTGTTCAATTTTACAGATCAGCAAGACCATGTCCTCTGTCCGAAAGCTTTTGATAGCAGTAGTAGACTAGAAATGCTTTAGACAGAATTTGCCATTACACTCTTAATGACATAAAACCTGTGATAAAGTAGGTAGCATATACTATTTCAGTCACAGTACTCGCAATTATAGTAGTAGAAATAGCCATAAAAGTGGTAGTAGTGAGACATTTGTAGTAGTAGTTTATGTACGAGTATATGGGTTACTCATGGTGATGGGAAGAATACTTTGAAAGTGTATTTGGTTATAGAATACTGAATACCTTAAAATGTATTTTGTAACATATTCTGATACATAGTCCAATTAGAGTACTGTATTCTGAATACAGAGTATACTTTTACATCAAGTTAGATCTAGTCTAAAAACACAATGCAGGATTGAAAACAGCTTTGGCTGTTTTTTACACTTTTATCACTAATTGAAGAAGGAAACATTGAAATCTAATTTGTCAAGTACATCAATCAAGTACTACCAAATGAAAAAAGTAACAATACCACCAAATGAAAAAGTAACTGTATCAAAATACAATTACTCAAAATCTATATTCTGAATACATATTCTTGGTACATGTGTTCAGTTACTTCCCAAACCTTTTATATATTATGATAACCACACCTTAACACCCAGAACCCCTTAATTAAGTTAATAAGTCTGACTCATTCTTGCTAAACTTTTTGTTCATTTGGAATTAAGTCTTCATTCACTCAAACATTATTGTTCACTTAAAACAATCATCTGTTAGCATTATGTTTTCCTCTGAATGCTACACTTTTCCTTTTCATACAGGATATAAACCAGATTGAGGCGTGCATACCTGTGTGTTGACTCCAGTGCTCTTAAGTCAGCGGTCACATGTTGAACTCCAGGAATGTGAGGTCAGACCCACTGATCCACTGGTCCTGTAGCTTGGACCTCATGAGGAGTAAAACAAAGGATTCATAAACTAACAGAAGAGACGAGATTGTTTCTTCAGGGCAAAACCAAACAATCAGTCTCAAACAGCTCTCTCCAGAGGTTTATCACAAGAGCAGACGTCATGTAAAGGCCCTGTGCCGTTTGTGATTTATGGTTAAGATAGTTCAACAAAATAGTCATTCAGCTTCCAGTTAAGATTTCATTGTATTATTGATCTCTTTATTGACCTGTAGAGTCCTGCATGTGATGAAGAGTCAGTCAGTGCAGTGAGGTCACTGTCTTCGCTCACACTGCGACCAGTGTTAATAGTGTGTAATAGTGTGTGCTGATCATTAACACAAAGTGTTTAGCTTTGGGCCCTTCTGCGGTTCAGGATTAAAAGATTGTTTTCCCTTTGTGCTTAGCCTTATTTTTTTCACTTCTTAGTGCACATAATGTACAATTATATTGGCTATAGCTAATGTAGGGCACTGATCAGCATATGTGCTGGAAGCATATACAATGATCTTGTGCTAGTTTTATGTATTTTCATGTGTGATTGTCTGGTGGTCAGACTACAAGCAGTCCCAGTCTGGCATTTTTCAAAGAATGTAATTGTAAAGAAAAGAGCAGAGTTTATGTATGGCACATAATTAGTACTTTCTTAGTGACAGCATGGGCTTCCAGTTGTAGCAGTAATAAGTATCTAAAAGCGGAGCAGTAACAGTAACAGGTAGTAATATTAATAGAAGTAGCTACAATATCTAATTGTTCTAAATAAAACAGAATACAGCCACTTATGTCATAACACTCAAGAACTTTATTTTACTCTATTAAAATATAATAACATTGCAATAAGATTTGCAATCCAAGAAGTGTCTGGATTATAGATCTTCTAATTATGTTTTCACAGATGCAGTGACCGTAAGACTCATCTGGGGACACCTTTTTCATTAATCAAAGTTACCCACATATTTGTCTTATCGCCACACATTTGGCCATAATCTAACTATCATTCAAATATCTTTCCTAATCTAATATCACTTTGACACAGCTGTGAAACAAATAGTGTTTTGTACAGTGCTTGGTTTCCCTCTGGCTGTTCCTTGCTGCAGATTCTTACTGCAGCTCACATAGTCTTGCAGTCAGGTGATGATCACAAGACGACTGGTCTAATCCTCTTCACTACAAAAGCACACTCCAAATCACTTTCTTTCTTAATGTGCATAAAGCCCACTGGAACACAACATGATCCGCCTCTAATTTTCTGATTTCCAACTATTGCTGTAACTAATTTGAAAGATACACAAGGGAGAAAGCGTGGCAAACTGCTTTTACACCTCTCTCACAGGAACTAATTTAGTAAAAACAAGAAAATGATGAAGCTTCTGTGTGTTGGATTGTTCTGTTTGCTGGTGGGCACAGACCTCGCAGGTGCACAGTTTCCTCGTGCTTGCTGTACAGTGGACGGTATACAGACCAAGCAGTGCTGTCCTGCCTTGGGGTCAGATCCAGCGAACATCTGTGGAGCACTGGATGGGAGAGGGAGCTGCGTGGCCGTGCGAGTGGACACCAAACCCTGGGGGGGACCCTACAGCCTCAGGAATGTGGACGATCGGGAGAGATGGCCCACCAAGTTCTTCAACCAGACCTGCAGATGTAATGGTAAGAACAAAACAACAAAACATACCTGCATAACAACTAAATATATATAGCTCATGGAGTCAGATGATGTTTTGGAAGTCGCATAAAATATAATAAGGTTTGGGTTCATAATATTTAAAAAGTAGTTCAAAATATTCCTAAAAATGAAAAGAAAAGGAAAGAAACTGTAGGAACGTCATGTACCTGTAGCTGTTTGGATTCAGCTGTTTGGATTAAGTCAATCACAGTAACTTACAATTACAAGCTAAAATAGTTTTGGAGTTTTGATACTTTAAAATTAAACAGAATTATTTTCATTGGGATATTAAATTGATAAACTACTTCCAATTACATTTCTAGACATACTTTGTTCTAGTACTTCATTGAATCCCTGACTGCTAATAACTGATCATTGACACTGATAATTGTAATTGTAATGTTAGATTTTTTTTTACTACTTTGAACATGAAGAGTTAAAAGTACTTTTATTGTCATGGAGATTAGGTTTCATTTCATATACATTTACAATACTTTTCCACTTGAAATGCCACACACCAATGCATTTAGTCCCTGTTATGTTTGCTTTGTAGGTAACTTTGCTGGTTTCAACTGCGGTCAGTGTAAATTTGGCTGGACAGGGCCTAACTGTGACCAGAGGAAAGCTCCCGTGGTGAGGAGAGACATTCACACCTTGACCCCCGGTGAGCTCGTGGAGTTCTTGGACATCCTGGACCTGGCCAAGAGCACGGTGCACCCGGACTACATGATCGCCACACAGCACTGGTTAGGCCTGCTGGGACCCAACGGCACAGAGCCACAGTTCACCAACATCTCCATCTACGACTTCTTTGTGTGGCAGCATTACTACTCTGTACGGGACACACTGCTGGGTAAGGAAGGACTTAGACTTTTATAGAAAACTGTGGTTCTAGTTTATTGTCTTCTAAAATATGTACAGCTGAATTGTGTTTGTGTTTTGAGGACTGTGGTGCCACAAGCAATCCAAATTTGAATAATTTTCTTTAATACAGAATTTTGGTGTATAAATATCACTTATTGTCTTTACTCATCAAAAAACACTGATTACAGATGTAAAATGGTTAGTTCTATATATATTAACAATAACACTGCAAGCATAAAATTGTAATTTGATTTACCAAGTTTTTACTCAAAAAGGTTTTAGACAATGGAGGTGAAAATTTGACTATGGGGGACCACTATAGTCTCCTGTATTAATGGGAAACACTACAAACGGACTGTAAACGATTAAAAAACAGTAGTGTTATTTTGCTAGAAATACTCAGGTCCTCTTCAGTTATTTTTTGTAGTATGCCAGAAACATTTTAAACACCATACTCTTAAGGTTAATACTATTAAAAAACTTTGAAATAAAACAACTTTGGCATGAATTAATTCACTATCCATAAATGTATGTGTCTTTTTGTGGAGAAACATCAAACCGTTTTTCTCCATAGGTCCTGGTCGCCCATTCAAAGCCATTGACTTCTCCCACAAAGGACCAGCCTTCATCACATGGCACAGATACCACCTGCTCAGTCTGGAGAGAGATCTACAAGTAAGATATTCTCAGTTTTTCTCTCATTTTCACACACTTGTACAGTATTATAGTATGTTTGAAATATTTATGTTTGTTTGTACAGCGGTTGAGTGGTAATGAGAACTTTGCCATCCCGTACTGGAACTTCGCCACGGGCCGGAATGAGTGTGACGTGTGCAGAGACGATATGCTGGGAGCTCGGGACCCCGCCAACCCCTCCGTCATCAGCAGGCAGTCCCGCTTCTCTAGATGGGGTGTGGTCTGTAACAGGTAATGCGCAAATTTAGTCTGTGGTGAAAAGGAACTAGATCATCACTGGTTAATTGTCAAGTGTACATGTGTTTATATGTGGACTTGCAGTATTGAAGTATGACCCAAATACTCCAGTGCGTTTACTGTATAACTAGTTTTAACTAGACTGAGCAAAGTAGTGGCAAAAAACAACAACAATCAAGTTTGTAATAAACTTCACATTTTTACCAGCAGAATACTGGTAAAACTTAACTTTTACTCAACTTAACTTTCAATCCAGTACATTTTGCACTTTCACTCACTTTGGATAAATATTTTTCCTCCATATGAGTATTTCTCACATGTGTCACATCACACAGGTGCACCATATGACTTTTTACATAGTTTTTCCTGGACAATTCTAAAGTGTGGCATTTAACTTATCAACCTTACATACTTACTTACTTACTTAAATTACAGGGATTTTTATTGCTAAACTATATTGGAAAAATATATATTCCTATACCTGTAACTTAGCATTGTGGTCAGTTGCTTCTCTCCAGGAAGATGGAAAAGTTCACTGCACTGTCTGTGCAATATTACAGGCTCAAATAACATCTCTGACTGATGGTAGTCCCTCCATCAAAAATGTACATAGTGCACATTAAAAGGTGCACTGAGTAACTTTTTGGTTGGGGGTCCATCACCTGTTTGTTTCCATGGATATACCATTGCTCTTTCTGTAATGTTCCACTTATATTTATTTAATTACAGATGGTTTTATAGCTTAAAAATACCTAGAAAACCAGGCAAAGACTGTGAATATGGTTGCCTTTCCACAGATCTGTCTGGGTTTGGTCTCCATGAAGATAGAAAGGTTTAATAAAATACTGTGAAATATTCCAGACAAAGCAATAACATCTCCATGGAGAAAAATATTTGATGAACCCTCCACAAGAAAAGTTTACCTATAACTTGACCTATCTCTGGCCGACATTTGCTTAATAAAAATAAAATAAAGTAGAGTCTTCACAATTTTTTTTTCTCCAGTTTAGACGACTACAACCGCCTGGTGACTCTGTGTAATGGCACTAATGAAGGTTTCATTCAGAGAGGAGCCATGGAAAGCACTAACATGTCCCTGCCAACCATGAGTGATGTGCGCAGCTGCCTGGGCATCAGAGACTTTGACAGTCCCCCCTACTTCACCAACTCCTCCTTCAGTTTCAGGTACAACAAAAACACTTAACGCTAACTGTAGATTTGAAGTTGTCACAATTCTCACTCGATATTTCTCTTTGTATGTGGCAGAAATGCTCTTGAGGGATATGAAAGGCCAGATGGTGAACTGGATGAAACAGTTACCAACCTTCACAATCTTGTTCACTCTATGCTCAATGGCACAAGCGCTTTGTCCCATTCTGCCGCCAACGATCCTATTTTTGTGGTAAGAATCACACTTCACAGCTCATTCTGAAGTACTTGATGCATCCGAATACATCTGTCACATTCATTCAGTGGTGGAAAGAGTACTAAAAATGTGTACTGAAGTAAAAGTACAGTTACATGACTAAAATTGTACTCAGTTACAAGTATAAGTACTGCTGGCAAAATTAATCTGTACCACACTATTTTGGTTTATGTTATAATGTTTTCCACATCAAAAACATACCTGGTTGTGTTTTGGTTCATTCACACATGTTTCATGCACAAATTCTTTAAGAAAAAAAAACGCTCTTCCACCTTGTGATGTCATGTGGTCATACAGGAAGTGATACACTGTGCTTTTAAACTCCATACAACTTCACATGAATAATTTGGATAATTTCATCCCTGGAATTGCCAATCTCTATTGAACTAAAGGTAAAATGTTGTTGTTAACATGAAAAGTACCACTTCATGACATCACAAGGTGGAACAGAGCATTTTGATTTTGGAGATGTAGTAGATAGATTAATAATAAAGGATTACTGAAATGTGTGAATGAAACAAAACACAGCTCCAGGTATGAGTTGCATAATGACTAAAAGTTCACATGAGTCAGTTTTGTGTAATATTGGACCTTCAAATGAAAGTTAAACGTATGCATCAAAAAATGCTCAATGTACCATTTTGTACAAAATTTTAGGGGCATTTTAGATCACACCTTTGAATGAGATGAATTAAAATGGCCAATCAGAGCAGGTAGTGCTGTGCTGTAATATGTTTTTGTAGGTGTTTTAAAGAGCAAGAGAAGATTTGCATTAGACAATACTCATTAACTTCTGTGATTTGGAATGTAACTAATTAAATGCACATGTTACAATTATACTCAATTACCCAAGTACATGTTTAAAAATCTACACAGTTAGTAATGTGAGTATTAATAATTCTTTCATTTTACCTTCAGGTGCTTCATGCTTTCACCGATGCTATTTTTGATGAGTGGATGAGGAGGTTTGTCCCGTCCAATGCCACGTTCCCAGATGAGATGGCCCCTATTGGACACAACAGGGATTACAACATGGTGCCCTTCTTCCCTCCCATCACCAACGAGGAGATCTATGTGGCGTCTGAACAACTGGGGTACTCCTACGCCATTGCCCTGGGTAAGATGAGTTACATATGAAGACAGCATATTATCTTGAAAGTGCATTTTGTAAATTTTTGGGTGGAGGGTCCATCAAATGCTTTTCTCCATGGAGATGTTATTGCTTTGTGCGGAATGTTTCACAGTATGGCATTAACCCTTTCTATCTTCATGGTGATCAAACCAGACCAAGTTACCAAGATTGAAATGTCTGGAAAACGTATGAGGATGAACCAGATGGATTTCAAGTGAATGGGAAATTCTTTAACATACTTCATGAACAAAAAGAACTATGTGTTTTTGTACTTCCTGTTTTAGTGAGTACTGTACAATATGGTCAATTCTGTCTTTCACTGTGAGTTTATTAGCCACCTGAGCTCCACACATTATTTGTGCCATTTTAATACAGGCTGGTTTGATGAGGGTTTCTGCAACATTGTATGTTTTTTTGGTCTTTGCTATGAGGAGAGAGCACTCAAACAAACCAATACTGGCTTTGGTCACTTCCAGCCCAGGCAAAACTTTCCCTTACATTGTGCGGTCTATGAGATGATCTTGATTTTCCAAAGCTTCCATGAAACCAAACAATGAAAGACATATTCTTCTTTTTTATATATATTTTATATAATGTGGACACTTAACTCAGAAAATATAAATTGATATTTTATTTATTTTTGGCCTCTTTGTTGAGAGGTCTTGCGACCCCCTGTAAAATCTCCTGAGTTGGGAAAGACCGACCTAGAAAGAACATGCAAACTCCTCACAGAACTGAGGTTTTAGGCTCTAAGCTACCTCACAGTCATTATATCATTACTATCACTTTGTTATTACGGGCATCCTGGTAAAACGCAACAAGCACTTCCAACTGAAGTTGGCACCTCTAGGTGAAAGTTGTACTTAATGTGCAATGGTAAAATGAAACATTGTATTACATTTAAATGATTTGAATAATGTATATATATATATATTTTTTAAACTCCACCAAAACACTTTGGCAATTTGCAGATGCAGTGTGCTTATTTTGTGACAAAGTGACAACATGGAGCTAGTAGTTGAAGGATCTTCTCTGATTCCAACCATTCTTCTCCTTCCTGAGTCTCCAGATATTGCCCTGTTTAGGACTGCTGCACCAGTTCTCTCTTCTCCAGGTGGTGCTTATGGAAGGTCCTTTGCTCAAACAAGCCCCTGGTCCACTTCTCACTTCTCTGGGACCATGAGAATTATTTTCATATGTGGGCTGGACTCTCACTTTCTTGTTCTGCTGGCTCTGAATCTAGACCTGGATCACAAGATCTTTGAGCTCCACAGGTCTCTGTTGGACCGGTCTTTGTTTGGTCTTCAGCTGCTGGACAGGTCTTTGCTGAGGGTGAGACCTCCACAGTGACCCAGTCTGCCCTGGATTTGTCCTTTGAGGCTGAACCAGTCTCTGCTGTGAGTCCATCAGTTTGGGTTTGGTTCTTTGCTGCAGGACAGGTTGGTGCTTATATTGGCTCACCATCATGTCCTTTTGAAGCACTTTTCTGGTGCTTCTTGTTTCCTCATTTTGCCCTCTTACCAAGGTGTTTTTTAATATATCTGTAGTTGACTGGGGCTTGCATGACCCAGCTCTGTGTGTGTACTGGTGGTTTCTGCTCCATCTTGGGGCACATCAGTACATGCCGATAACTTCTGATGCTGCTCTTGTGTGTTTTGTGAACAAGTTGTAAACAAGTCTCTTTTGAGCTTCTCTATTAGGGGAATCAACGGGGGGACAAAAGGGTCTGTTGTCCCAGGCCCCAGGGTCTTAGGAGCCCAGAATTTTTGCCTCTTCCTATTCTTTTATATTAGAGGTGGACCATGTGAGGTGTTTTGCCCTGGGTCCCCAAATATCTGTGGATGGGCCTAGTCAATACTTTAAGGCCTTTTCACCATTCAAAGGATAGGATATATTGTTTTAAATCGTTACCTGCTATGGTAACAGTCAATTTTACATCATTCTGGAACACATGGATAAATACCCCTTTTTTCCTGCAAACAATTCAACCTGCTAACAAGCCAGACATTGCCTTCATGTTTGACTTTTATGTGCAAATAATAATATTGTAACATGTCTTCATATTGGTTTCTTAATTCACATGTTTTTAGTTTTTACTTCATACATGTTATTTCCTCCTCCTCCTCAGCAGTAGCGCTCCTGACTGTCCCTTGTGTTTGCAGAGGCGGACAGTGGTTCTCCCGTGGTGGTGCTGGGCTCCACTCTGGGGGGAGTGTTCATCGGGCTGCTGGTGCTGCTGCTTATCTTGGTTCTGTACATGCGTCAGCGCAGAAAGACGGGCTTTGAACCTCTGATAAAGGCCGACTTCACCAACAGGAAGTACACAGAGGAGGCCTAGAGTCACCCCCACCACACCAGGGCAGCTTGTGTCACACGACTTCACTGTAAAACAACGTCTGTGTTGATTATGTAAATGAATGAACGTCTAAAATGTATAGAGAATCATGTTTATCTGCTTGAAATATCCAGGCAAAATGTTCATATTTTTGTCAGATTTTATCTTACACTCAAACTGTGATTCTGGGTTATAACTTTAAATCAAATTATTATATTTTTAAATGATGTAAAACCATAATTTCACAATCATGTTCTTCACACATATGCACTGATTCTTTGTTAAGAATATAACACAATTCCTCAGCAGTATTTTCCTCATTTTATTGCAAAAATATTAGCATTAAAAGTTCAATGATACAAAACATAAAAAGGGCATCTTTTCAGATTACTATTCATAATAAAGAATCTTTTCAGTGACACTTGTGACATAAGATCTGTTCTGTCAATGGAAACAAAAAATGCTGGAGTTGAGCTGTGGATCATACAACGCATTAGAATAGAAAGAATCCAGTAGATCTTTTCAAAAAGTGAATATAACTTTGTATATCTGTTTTTCAAGCCTTGATTATTATTGAACGATCATAATTATAATAGTACTATTTTATGCTTTGTACCAGGCTGGATAAAAGAGAACATGTTAAAAGAATATGCAAAACACTGAAAAACAGACAGAATAATTGCTGTAATTACACAGTAAAATTTACACAGTACAATGTTTTTAACAAATTCTCAAATTATCTTAAATTCTGAACCATAATTTAAAAATTGTTTGAAATATTACTGGAAGTACTATATCAAAGTATTTCATTTTGAACAGAACTACAGAATCCATTGTACCTTTCCCTAATACTTTTCTAATTAGTTGATATCCTAGACTGATAGATGGACATTGTTTAGCTGGACAGTGCATGGTCACATGACTCTCTGCCCTCTGTGACTGGTCTCTCTCTCTCTCTCTCCCCCCGTCCCTCCCCCGTATCCCGCTCGCTGCTGTGAGGGTTTCATCGGAGCGTTCAGCCCTGACCACCGCACACACATTCTCATTTCACAGGTGACTGTAGTCCGCTCCGAGCCTGTCCACGGACATGACCATTCAGGCTGCACAGATACATTTAGGGACCCTTTCTTTGCATTTCCAGAAAGCACTGCATATTATTTTTTCTTTTCCATACTCTCTATTTTGTGTTACCTGTTGTACGTTGAGGAAATACATTGTTCTAAGCCAAATTTTGGAAGACAGCAGTGCAAGACATCTTCAGTAATAGTGATTCTGTATGGAATAAACATGCACTTTCACTGACAGTGGTTTTGGAATAACTGAATCATATTGATTAGTGTAATTTTGATACTACAACAGTATGGCAGAGTTAAATAATTCAGCATAAATATTTTGTAGTTCAATATGACCGGCATATGTGATAATTATTGGACTGTTACCATGAATTGTTTTGTATTACAGGTCACCTCAACGTTTTGTACTAAAAATAGCATTGGATGAGAATATATATATACTTTTGTAAATAATGAACTAGTGGCAAGGCAAGAGGAAATGAAGTTAAGACGTCAGCCATTAAGTGTTGCTTTGCTAAACAGTTTGAGAGGACAGACAGGAGCAAGGCAGATCCAGTAAGATTATATACTATTGAAATTTGACATGAATATGGAGTAACATTTCAGCATAAATGAAAAATTGGCACATGGTATAAGATAACCCTAAAAAAAATCACATGTTCCTGTATTTGTTATATAATTTCCCTATGATATTTTAAAATATATTAGAACATATTGTAAACTTTTTGTGCCTTCATTGGGTGCATCAAAACAAAACCCCTTTCTCAAGAACACACCACTTTTGCATTTAAAAAATCAAAGTGCGTAACATTTTCCACATGGACACCAACAATATGACCAGCCCTAAGTGCAAGACTTTCTCTTTAGTCTCTGTAGCAGCAGAGTCCTTCAGGTGGACATCAGCTCATATGATGAAGTGATGCCATAAAGTCCAAATTATGGCACAGCTCAATCTTTGGGAAATTGGGATCTCATTCCTCCTTTTTCAGAGCAGACAAGCCCAAGGCTCCACTGTCGCTCCAAAATGCCGCCTTATAAAACTGCAAAAAGAAGAAAGCTGTCCGCGTGAGGCCATATACTCCAGCATTATCTCCATTGTCGCTGAAGTGTCAGGGCCAACAGCACCAGGGCGGTTGTCATGGCGACAGGAGGCGTGTGGAGCGGGACAGAGGCACCCACGGGCTCGCTGCGGTCTGCCTCCACCACGGGCGCTTCAGACGCAGGGCTCTCTGACTCTGTGGGGCAGTCCTCTGTGCAGCCACTGCCCGAGCCTGAGCCACTGCCCTCGTCACCTGCACCAGAGAGAAAGAGGTCAAATAATCACATGTAGTGTCAGGCTGAATCTGAAACTATATCTACATCCTAAACTGACATTGACTCTCACAGTTTGGTATTAACAGCATCAGCCTCATGGTACCACATTTATTGTAATACTGTTGATGTCCTGACAAGCAGATACCCACACATGTATAATGCCTACATATTTATGCAACAAAAAGCACATACAGAACTTAGTTTGCAAATAAGAGAATGAAAAGAATATTAACTAGATATGGACTGTGCTGTGAGTGTTTACTTTACAAAGTTCAAACATTGCAAATTTAGTGCATTTACAGCATTACTTTTAACAAAGGAAAATGAAATTCAATAGTTTTGCATCAACAATGGATATGCCTGAAGCTGCAGCCAAACCTGCGGCAGAAAAAGCTTGTGGTGTGGAGCAGACTGAGGTCAGGCTTTGGAGGACTGGAATATTTTTGTGTAGAATTCCACTGACTAAATTATACTAAAGGTCTCACTATTTATACTTTTTAAAGGGTCCATATTACAGTATTTTCTGATCTATGTCATAATTTCCTCATCACAAACATACCCGGAGTTTTGTTGTGTTTCACTCAAGCATGTTTAACACACAAACCCTACATATTTACACTGAGTTCTTCTCTCAGACTGAAAACACACCACCTTGTGATGTCATTTAGTGGTAGTTTTCAAGTTTTTTCAGTAGAGATTGGCAGTTCGACATCTGAAATTATCCAAATTATTCTAGTGAAGACACACAGAGTTTGAAAACACAATAGAGCACTTCATGACCTCACAACATAAATGGCCCACAAATAACGCCATTTGGACAAACAGCGTGTCAAAAAAGTCCAATGTATATAAATATTAATAAACTATGTAGGTCTAGGTCTCTCTAATTTGACTCCAAAACTGCTCAGTGTTTATGCATTTAATGTGTCAATAAAATAAATATACTAATTTGCAATGTAATAAGTATAAAAAGCAGCGTTATTGAATTGTTATAGACTAAATATGAATGTCCAAAAGTCACCGCATGCTACTGAGATGTACTATCCTAGTCTTGTCTCATCACCCCCGCTTGTGTCTGCTCCTCAGCACTAAATGAGTACCTGATGACATTATTATCTGGAGCACTGCCTCTGTCTCCCCCAGTGCCTCTTGTGGGCTGCTACCGTTCATTACCTTAGCCTCAAGGTTAGACACCATTTCAAAGTAGACAGCTTATCAAGATGAGTGACAAATTGGTGCGTAGCGCGGCTGGAAGGAGGACTAAAAATAGGCCGGTCTTAATAAAACGCCTACATATATCACTTACCCGAGTCCTGGAAGTAGATGTCATTCCCATTGTAGGCGTTCTTCAGTTTATTCGTCATTACTCTCAAAGCCATGATCTGCTGCCTTATATTAGTGTCAGGACGCGTGATGTCCACCTCCACCTCTGGATTGCTCACCTGGTTGGTCAGTCCGTCTTTCTGTACCTCTGGGAAATACCTTCAAAGGAAACAAAATGGGATGTTATTTTGATGTTTTTGTTGTTGCTACTGTTTTGGTGTAATTCCCTTGTGAGTGAGAACAAACCAGGCCTGCTCAGTGTTTGACCTGATCATAACCGCTGTTTGGTATTTCTCAGGGGAAAGATTTCAGCTGAACACATTCCTGTTTGACAAAGAGGATATTCAACAGATAATGTCATGGAGGGCTCATTGTAACTCTGGGTCACTGGAGGTTTAATGATCATAAAATTCATTAATAAAAAATATCTGACAATAATTTAAAATAAATCTAGAAGTAGGGCTGTAAAAAGTATCCAGATATCAGTCATATCCAGACACAAGTTGATACGAAAACTACTACTAGTGTTAGTGTTACTTTGTTAATGTTACTTTGTTAGTGTTGATACTGAGTATGGACACTAACAAAATCACATACATTCAGTTGAACATTTCCTTATCAGTTTTAGAATTGCTTCCATCATCTGAACTTGTATAAAACAATATTGTGCAAAATAGTTATTTATTTATTTTATTATGTCTTTAAGATGTAAATCAGTCAACTTCTTCTAAAAGTTCCCACTTCACTGTGATTGGTTAAAACCAGCATTCAGAAACACAAGTGGCTAACTTGTTGGAGAAGTGTGGGGAAACATGTCAGAATCTGAGTCATAAACTCTATATAAATAGACAAAACTGACCTGCTAGCTGCTACGTTCCAAATAGGAAGTGAGCATGGAGGTGCTTCCGGCTCCATCGACACTGAGTTTACATTGAGAAAGTGTCACCCTCGCTGTGTGACTGCTGCAGTGAGCCTTGTCATTTTGGTCTTAAAATGTTTGTATTAACCTGCTCTGCATGAGAGTGTTTTTATTTTGCTATTTTGTACATTAATAAATTCCTATTCCTAAAATGGAGCTTGGCTCCAAGTTTACCTCTATATCTGCTAGCATCATGAGCTTCATTTGACTGGAGCAGAACGGTATGGTTGATGTCACACTCACTTAGTCCACTTCTTTATAGTCTATGGTTTGAGTAGATGGCTTTGTTACAGCCTCAGGCCTCCACTTCTGACTTGTTTTGTGTGTTTTAATTTCTTTTGCTGTCTGTCCTGATTCCTGCTGTAGGAGCCCTGGTCCGTGATTTGTGGAGTTCGTCTACGCCCACCTCACCTGCAGCCCCCGCCCCCATTTAAGGAGATTGTCAGCCCCTGTTCAGAGCTGCTGGTCTTTGTGGCCAGTCTGACATTTTGTGTTTGTCTGTATCTCTTTAGTCACTTGTTTTGTACTAGTACGTGTCTGACATTGTGTTGAGACACTTGGTTAGTTTAGTTCTGTTTTGTGCCTTTTTGTTTTGTCACTCGATTCTGTCTGTGGGTTTATTTGGTTTTAATTTGGGGCACTTGTGATTTAGTTTTGTTGTGTCTCCCTTAGTTTAATCACTCATTTTTGTATAAACCTCCATGACCTGTTTTTGGCACAAAACATGTTGTATGTTAATCCTGTTATTTTATTTCTTAGTTTAGGTTATTTTCTGTACATATTTTAGCCTGTTTTGTTAAGTTACCCTTTTACATTACTGTTAATTAAACATTACTTAATTTGTTTTTTTGTTACTTCCCTGACCCTAGCGAGCTGGGTCGAAACAGGCTTTATTAAATGGAAAAATAGTGAATCATGATTTGACTATATGAGCAAAATAGCAGATGGTCACAGAAATAAGATCACAATTAGATTTTTATCACCAGTCCCACAAAACAACTCTATTTGACATTTTGTTTTTCCATTTAGGTCAGCCAATAAGTACACAATAACAGTCTTAATAAACGAGCAAGCAAATGTCAACGCTCACAAATAAAGCTGCTGTTTTTGGAGAGACTGTAGCTCATCCATCTTATGTGTTAAAGGGTCGAATTCTTTACAAAAATACCTCTGCTTCTTTTTCCTTACTGCAGCTCCTTGCTCCATGCTAACAAAGATCCTGTCTTAGAATCCTTTAAATTAGTTTGAGATATAAAAAACTCACAAAGACAACAGCAAAAAATAGACAGCAATTTGAATAGGTTCTAACATCTGCACCCTTCTGGAAACATTAGCCCCATACATGTTCAAATTAAAGCATTTCCTGCCCCTGACTGAAGCCACCCACAATAAATACATTCTTTTGAGGCAGCAATTCTCCTCAGTAAATTGTCTCTTTTATGCTTTAAGAATAGCATTGAGTGTCTCCTTTTGATAGTATAGTAGAAATGAATAAAAATGGCATAAACCTATTAAGTGTAACCCCCGTATTGGCTGTGGGCACGTATAACAGTTGTGGAAATATTTCTTTAAAATAAGATCAGATCAGGCGTGTAAAACCATGCTGACTGCACATCTGAACATGAAGACTACATAAAACATGAGATTAATGGAGAGAGACGTGTTGTGTTGTGTAGGCCGTCTATGATTTAAAACAACGTGTCAGAAGAGTTTATGGACTGTAAAATGTGAATTATGTGAGTAATCATTCCGATCCTAAACTTTCAAGCAAGTCTGAAAAAAATGTTACTTCAAATTAGAACTTGTAACTTCTACACGTTTTGGAGCTTTGTAACTTTTTTCAAAACAGGTCTAAACCAGGACTAAACTAGGTCTAAACCAGGTCTAAACCAGGTCTAAACCAGAACTAAACCAGGACTAAACCAGGACTAAATCAGAACTGAACCAGTACTAAACCAGAACTAAACCAGGACTAAATCAGAACTGAACCAGGACTAAACCAGATCTAAACCAGGTCTAAACCAGCACTGAACCAGAGCTGAACCAGGACTGAACAAGGACTAAACCAGGTCTAAACCAGAACTAAACCACAGCTGAACCAGGACTGAACCAGGACTAAACCAGAGCTGAACCAGGACTGAACCAGGACTAAATCAGAACTGAACTAGTACTAAACCAGATCTAAACCAGGACTAAACCAGGTCTAAACCAGCACTGAACCAGAGCTGAACCAGGACTGAACAAGGAATAAACCAGGTCTAAACCGGGTCTAAACCAGAACTAAACCAGGTCTAAACCAGAACTAAAGCTAGGACTAAAGCCAGGACTAAAGCCAGGACTAAAACCAGAACTAAACCTGAAATAAACCAGAACTAAAACCAGGACGAAACTAGGTCTAAACCAGGTCTAAACCACATCTAAAACCAGGACAAAACAGGACTAAAACAGGATTTAACCAGGACTAAACCATGCTGCACGGACCATGCACCACGCCTCCTCTAGTACGCCGCCGGTCTGTAAAAAATATTGTCCCTGATCGCCCTGGACATAAAACCAGTTCGCGGTGCAAAAAAGGTTGGGGACCACTGCTTAAAACCATTTTTGTTTTGGTTATTTTACTTAATTTTTTGTTGTAAGCGTTTTTTGAAAGACAACTGAAACATATCACAGTAAAAGTTTCCTTCAGAACTGGAACCAGTGAAAAGTGAAATCCTTTAATCCTTGAATCAGACTGAAGGATTGCAGGGTTTTGGACAGAGTAACCTTTTGTCCTGGCCTTGTTTGACTCCGAGTGTTAGCTGATAGCTGTGAGCGTTTAGCTGTACCTGCCCTTGGAGTGTCCGTTCCAACAGTCTTCATCGGTGGAGTTGCCTTGTGTCACTCTGTCTCCGTCACACAGCATGTCGGGGAGACCAGACCAGAACTTCTTTGAGGTCTTCAGCTTCTCTTTTATGTCAGCCACCTGTGAAATAACAATAGGTTTAAACGCTTGAGAAATACGATATTAAAGATGCACTGTGTGACTTTTCTGGAGAGGGTCCGTAACCTGGAGTCTTACATTTTTCATAGTATGGCTTTAAACTAATCTGTCTTGCTTTTATTCAACTATAAGTGGTATTAATGCTCAAAAATGTCTTTAAAAACAATAATTCTCACAAATCTAACCAGTAATTTGGCTTAGAAGTCTCCTCGGAGATACATTCTCTTCACATTTCCACAGAGACAAGCAGGTGACGGACCCTCCCCCTGGAAAAGTTACACAGCGAAGTTTTACGCACGAATATCATCAATAATACAGATGCAAGGACAAAGTATGAAGATTCAAAAGTTTAAAAAGAAAAAAGAAAATATTAAAATACAACTCGATCAACTCCCTTTGGCAAAGAATCAATAATAAATCATTTTGGCAAACCTTGAAAAGAAATTTGAATGATCATAAAAAGGTAAAAATGTAAAATACAATTCAATTATGTTTTGTGCTAGTCATTTAGTAAAATATATAATAAAATATAATAATAAATTTATAGTAAAAGTAGACAACAGGGCTGAATGATTTGGGAAAAATATCTACTTTTGTGATTAGTTTTGCAATTTTTTTTTTATTAACAGGGTTCTGTTCAAAGTTCTAAACGTGTCCAAAAGAACTGAGAAAAAGACTAATTAAAGCTAATACAAGAATCACATTTCAGAACATGTTTGTACAGATTTTAACGACAGGGACAGCAGTTTTTATGCAGAATAAAACTGGATATTTTGTTGTTTGGGAAAGAATTTATGGCTTGCAAATTGGATCCATTGATATTGCGATTTCGATTCGACTGTGACTGCGATCTTGGAGCTCTAGTTGACCATTTACTTTCATGTAGGATTATTATTAACCAGTGTTGCACTACAGTTTACATTTCTGTTACTGTACCAATATCACTAGCTCCCAGACCTGATAGGAACCCGTCCACTTCCCTGTGTAGTGTATCATGGAAAACTATGCCCCCACCTGCCCCAGACCACATTTCAAAGCTGAATGTCGGACTTTAAGAGCCCTTTACATCTTGACCATGTGACACAGGCAGATATCGTTTCCGGACTTTGAGCCTGTTGAACTCCAATCTTTCATCAAACGCGCCTAAATTTTTGACATATTCCAGAGAGGCTGAGGGGAAAGGCCGATAGACATTATCTTGTACCGTGTGAGTAGCTGTTGGCTTATGTGAAATTGTGGTGAACCTGAGCAGAACATGAAAGGTGGTGTGGTGAGAGTGCGACGCTGCTGTAGGCCCTGACACTGCTTTTGATGTGTTAATCCTGTCACAGCGATGCCCAGGCGGAGGCAGCCGGGGCTCTGATACTGCCCCCGGGGTCAGCGAGGGAGACTTACCCATTCTCAAACTCATAACAGTGAGGATGGACTACCAGCTCACATTAACTTTACTCTGAGCACAAACACTGTCTACAGCAAGTCCACAGTCCATCATGAGGGAATACAGCTAGAGCAGAAATGATTTTCAGTAACCGACTGTTACACCAAACCTCCAAAAACTACAGAGCCTAGAAAAACATTTAATAAAATAAAACCAAATAAAATGAATAAATACACTTACACACACACATATACATACATACATAGAATTATTTTAAAATATTTTACATTAGATTTTTCTAGGTAAGTAAATCACTCCATGCAATCAAGTATTTTGTTGCTTTAGTCAGAACTCACAATGTTTTAACACAATCTTTTAACACATAGTCTAAACTTTATTATAGTATTAATCTATATCATTTGAAATTTAATAACCTAAGTCATGTTACAACATTCACAAATATCCAATGGACGTTTTAACTAGGCAACTCTTTACAGTGCAATTACCCAAATAGGCCACTAGATGCTGCTGTGCTCCCGAGTATATCCAGCTGATGGTGCAGGTGTTTATGGCGCTGTCACAACAATAGATCAAATTCAGTAATCACGTGACACACGGACACATCTGGGAGTTAGAAAAGTCTTTGCACGAGATTGTAACTCACAGAGAGACGTTATCGCTGACATAATTACACATAATACATACTATCACATCTGAACTCACATCCTCCTGACACTGAAGCTGTGGGATGAAGGTGAGTAACAAGAGCGCACAGAATCTACAATGTGTTAAGAATAATTATTACCTTTGCTGGCTTTTGGTTCATATGTCTCATTGTTATTCAGTGTGAAGTAATGCTAAATACATCTATTTAATTCAGCACAATATACAACGTGCTAATACAGCCTGTACAATACAGTGAATTACAATTACAACCATGATTATTGTTAGAATCAGTTGAACTGATTGTTAATATCAAATCTTGAGTATGTTCAATTAGCGCATACATGGTTCCTTGAGGTAAAAGTAGCTCACAGATTGTACTTTTCTACTTGTACAGTACTGTTGCATGTTTCATTTTGAGACCTCACTCTCTCTCTAAGCAAATATTTGTTTAAATGATCTGGATTTCAATTATAATCTCAATTATCGTTATTATTATGATTATGTTTTCCATAACTGAGCAGCCCTAGACATGCTTTTGTGTTTTCTCATTTGAAGCGTGTGTTGTGTGCAATTAAACTCTTCTTAAATATTTGAATGTTTACATTGATACTTCGCAGTGGCATCGCGCTGGGGGTGATCTACGTGCATCTCTATTGGTGGAATGTTTAGAAGTTACCATGGTGATGCAATACACACATTAGCAAACATGGACAAAAAAGGTTTAAGTTTGGGTGAAAATTTAAGAAAATTGATTTTAACAACTTTTCAGATTTTCAGGAGACTGTGATCAATATGACTGTTCATGGTCTTGTTTAGGAGTTAGATTTTCAACAAAAAGGAGAGAGAGACAAACTGAAAAACTAACTGACTAACAGATTGTGTTAAAGTAAAGATCAGATTAACGACGCTTCTAACACAGTAGTGCTTTCAGTTAGCTTTGTACCCCCAGGAAATGTTCATGACACCAGCTGCATCAATAAAGAAAAGATGGAGTGTCAAGACCGTCAATACAATGTTTCTAATAAAATACTGTGATATTTTCCCCACTAGATGGAGTTGCCAGGTTGTGCAACACATTTCAAAAACAGCATTTCCTCATATAATCATTTTACAACATGTTTTACAAGTCTAAATCCAGTCAGATCCACACTTCAAAAACCTGAAGAAAAAGATCAAACTACATACTGGAGACCTGATGGTTTTGGGTCTTGTTTGACTGGGAATAAATAAGAAAAATGACTTGGATTTATATTGTTTGACCAGCTTCTCACAGGCGCCATTGAGACATGTATTAATTCATTCTCCATGTTGGGTCACATACCAAACCACTCTGACCACCACTTCCTCACAGACAAAGTGGTGAAATGTCTTGCGCAGCGACAGTAAACACTGATGGGAAGGCATGTTACAGGTGTGGCTGTAATAGATAAAGTACACTGTTACTGTATGTTGTATGTTTTTCTTGATATTAGACAGCAAAAAAATACTTTGTGTAATATGAAGAAGCAGCAGACCAAGGTGCAGGCAAAGAAGTGGAAATGGCTGTGTTCTTTTTGCTGTGTCCCGGGCTGTATTTTTCCTCATTTGCCCTCAGCGCGTCTGCTTCCTGTCATGAACCATATATTACTTCATTGTACTCCCCTCCCTCTCTGCACCCCCTCCTCCTCCTCCATCGGCCCCCCCCTCGTGCCCCCCTACCGCACGACTCAGACCTGACTCTCTCTCTCTTTTTGCTCTTGCTTTCTCAAAGTGAAAGTGGAGATTTTGTGGCTGGCGCTGACCTGCGATCTGGGAGCTTGCCTCATGTTCTGGGGGCTTTGTGAATAAAACCTTTCTCTGCTGTGATATTTGGATGTCCCATTTTTACCTGTATATTCTCTACTTAAAATGTCTAGAGATGTGAAGTGAAATTCCAGTGTAATTGATTATTCTTCAGTGGCTTATAATTTTGGCTTTATAATATTGTTGTAAAAAGCCATCAGAAAGCATTATTAGTGTAATATAAAGTGAATTAATATGGCGCAGTTTGGTTTTTGAACCTCACATTATATAGCAATGGTCACATTTTTATATAGAGTATTTCCATCTTCAAGGCACTCAACGTGCTCTACCTCAAGGGACCACTCACACATTCACACACCAATGTACACAGACACTGGCGGTGAGGTGGGTTAAGTGTCTTCAGGAGCCTCAGAGGAACCTCAAAGTGCTGGAATTGCACTGCCAACCTGTGGGTTAGTGGACTTGATCGCTCTCCCAATGATGTTTGTGTCGAGAGTGGGATTTGAACCACTAACCTTTGGATCAGTGGACAAACACCCTCCCAACTGACACTAAATTGAAATTTTATTTTGACACTAAGGAATACACTCTGTCCTCAATACAGTTTCTGATAACTCACAGATAATTAAAAAAAAGACTTTATTCAAACAGTAGAATGTGATTTTCAACAGTGAATATGATTTTTTTATTATCAATACTTGATAATGTGTATCGAATATTATGTGGTATCTGATTTTCAATACTTCTGACAACCCTAATAGTGTCGGTCTGGCATACCAACTACCTGAGTACATTGCTGACTTGTCGACATAAGTTACAGAGTGATGACCTCCAGAGCTTTTTGTATAGAAACTCCATTTGACAAATGTTAGTGTCATGTTCATGTCAGAAAATAAAACAACTTTGACTAAGCAAAACTTCAAATAAAAAAAAAAAAAAATCTCATACTTACGTTAAGTATTTTACAATTAGAATTGCACTGATACTTAAATTAGCATTTAGAAAGGGGAGATATCATTTCTGTGCAAACAATAAAAATATCGTTCAGGTACAAGTGGATGTCCAGCTACTGAAGTTTGACCCATTTCTTCTCGTCATTTATGTTCTCACTTGCTTTTAACTCATACATGTCATTAAGATGTATCGCACTCACTAA